CTTCTTCCGGAGCACAGAGCAGGATGCTTAGACCTGTTTTGGCGGCACGTGCCGTACGTCCCGACCGATGTACGTACGCGGCAGCGTCGCGAGGCACGTGGTAGTGCACGACGAGATCAACGTTAGGTATATCAAGACCACGAGCAGCAACATCTGTGGCAATTAAAACAGAAGACTGGCCAGCAGGTGTACTGGTAAAGCGTTCAATGGACCGTAAGCGCGCTTTCTGCGCCATTTGTGAATGTAATGCGTGTGAAGTTAGATTTAAGTTCTGTAGCATGGGAGAGATGCGTCGCGCCGCGCTGATGGAATTGGTAAACACCAGTGTGCGCACATTGGGGTATAGAAGTAATAAAGCATAGAGATACAGATCCTGCACCTTTTGTTAGCACATTTGCAGCTCACTGCTTTCGAGATTGGTGCTGCACTCACCTTTTCCATCGCACCGCATTCCACCAACCCCTCCTTGAGTCCCTCGGCCATCTGAGAGACAGGGTTGACGTCGATAAACTTCGGCTTCTCCTCACGGAAGTTCAATTTCTTCAGTAGATACTCCATTGAATCCTCTTCGCTCATCAGATTGTATTTTCCTTTACCAGCAAGCTTCTGTTGAAGACCTTTGTGGAATGTCGCTGAAAAGACGAGTGTCTGCCTGGGAGAGGGTTCAGCCTCTTCTTCTTCCTCCTCATCCACCTCCACTCGATCTAAGGCGGTCAGGATGTCCTTGGCCTCCTTAAAATGGCCCTCCGTCAAAAGCCTATCCGCTTCATCGACCACTAAGTAACTTATTCCCCTGAAAGAGCGCATGGTCTCAGCGCTCGAGCTCAATACCTCCCATAATCGACCAGGTGTTCCGATAACAATGTCAGCTTTAGCCAATTGGCGTTGTTGCTTTTGTACGGAAAGTCCTCCGGTGATAGAGCATATGTATGGAGAGCTCGGTAGACCGTTACAAAGATTCTTTATATGATCTGTGAGCTGATGGGCAAGTTCTCTGGTAGGTGAGAGAATCAAAGCCAAAGGGGTTTTGGTGACCGTTTCAGCACTATCTTGCTCTGCCAGCTCTAGCCATTTCTCGACTATGGGTATTCCGAACGCCAAGGTCTTGCCGGAACCAGTAGAAGCTTTCCCTATCACATCATGCCCCGCCAAAATATGTGGTATAGCCGCGGCCTGGATCGCCGTGGGGTTGGAGAACTTCAACTTGGCCAAGGAAGAGAGAATTCCTGTAGAAATATCTAGTTTTACCCACTCGGATAAGTCGATGTCGTCTTGAGATTCGTCCATAGCACCTAACTCGGCAAACACATTTGTTTCTAATTCGCTGTCCTCTTTCGCGTCTGATTTCTTATTCTGTTTCTTCTTTGGTTCCTTTTTGGGCTTTTCAGTTTCTATTTTCGAGGCGGTCTTAACCGCTTTAGCTTTGGATCCCTCTTGAGAAGCAGCATCGTCGGGCTTGGTCAAAGTGGATGGCTCGTCATCGAATCCTTCAAAATCGTCGCTCTCGGGTTCGTCCGCCTCATTGGCTCCTTCGGTCTCATTGTCGCTTGGAATAACTGCTCTCTTAAAAACCACTGTTAATACGAGAAGAGGCGACGGAAGACGGTATTAACCTACAAACTCGACAATGTTGCCCTCGCCTTTCACGACCTCGACGCCTTCTACTTCTTCTAATCCGAAGAATCCCTCGGCGTCATCGAACATATCGGGAAGCTTAGCCTTGCTCCATGGCAGAGAATTGATGCCGACAGACCGTTTACTTCGTTTTTTAGATTTTTGGGGGAGAGACGCGGTTTTTGTTCTTTTTGCCGATAGCGAGGCGCCTCCGACTGCCAACTTCCTCTTCTTAGCCCCGTTCATTTTGAGAGAGAATCGCGTGGTCGAGAACAGTCGATCGTTACGTCCCGTTCGTATTGTCGTTGGAGGGGAGCGCGAAAGTCTTCAAAAATTCAAGATTTCAGGTCAGTATCGGGAAGACCCTTGCGACCCCACCATTGCGCATTAGCGCCTTGACGTAGGTACTGCTAAGTTGCATCCTAAGTCTAAACCAGCCCACCAAGCCAAAGCATTTTGATTCGCTCGTCGAAAATTCAGTGCACCTCTCTCTTCTTTACTGAATTGTCCCCTCTTCGGCTTCACCAATCTCAACGGTGAGATTTTATTCTAAGCCGAGAGATATTCAAAATGGGAAAATCGTCTAAAGATAAGCGGGACGCATATTACAGACTCGCGAAAGAGCAAGGCTGGCGAGCAAGAAGTGCCTTCAAGCTCCTGCAGCTCGATGAAGGTTGTTCTACCCCTCCCCCGCCGAAATAAAAAAAAGTATCGAATCCAAAATAGAACCCTGAGGCTAACTGAATGCATAGAATTTGACTTGTTCGCCAATGTGACGCGGGTGGTTGACCTGTGCGCCGCACCCGGCAGTTGGTCTCAGGTGCTTTCCAGGGTCCTGATCAAGGGTGAGAAATTCGGCCGCACAGCATGGGAGGATCGTGAGGCCAAGTTCCGCCAGCAGATGCTTGGAGTCTTCGGCTCGGCGAAGCCTCCCGTCGTGTCGTCGGTCACGGAGATCGAACCTGGCACCGAAGAGCCGAAGCCACGGGAAAATGTCAAGATTGTGTCCATTGATCTACAGCCGATCAGTCCTCTGCCCGGCATCATCACTCTCAGGGCCGACATCACTCATCCTGCGACAGTACCGCTGCTGTTGAAGGCCCTGGATCCTGACTACGATGCAAAAACCATGTCGCAACAGGCTGTTCATCCCGTTGACTTGGTGCTCAGCGACGGCGCCCCTGATGTCACCGGACTACACGATCTCGACATCTACGTGCAGTCGCAGCTTCTCTTCGCTGCGCTGAATCTAGCTCTCTGCGTTCTCAAGCCAGGCGGCAAGTTCGTGGCTAAGATATTCAGGGGCAAGAATGTCGATGTGCTATATGCTCAGCTGAAGATATTCTTTGAGCAAGTCCATGTTGCTAAGCCTAGGTCTTCACGAGCAAGTAGCGTTGAGGCATTCATAGTATGTCTGAACTTCCAGCCCCCGAAAGGATTCTCCGCGAGTCTCGAGGAGCCCCTAGGTGTTGGATTCCGGCTGAATAAGATGACCGAGCAAAATCTGAGGAGCCTTCCTATAACCGCATCTACTACAATGCAGAACCAGAAAACGGGGGCTTGGGACAGTGCCCCTCACTACGCCGAAGTCATTGATGAGCACGGCATTACCGAAGTTAAGCCAGAGGACCATCGCCAGCACAAAGAGATAGATATCAGGTGGATTGCGCCTTTCATTGCATGCGGTGATCTATCTGCGTTCGATTCAGATGCTTCTTACCGCCTCCCACCAGACCACGTAACACTCGATCCTATACAACCGCCCACCGCACCACCCTACAAACGCGCAATAGAGCTGCGACGAGCCCACGGAGGCGCATATGGAAAGACTGGTTCGAAGGTGTGAACCTCTTAGCGCTCAGTACTCTATTCGTGCTGTTTATGTGGAACAGCCGGCCCATCAACAGCCCCTATAACCAGCTTTCCCTCATTATGCTCGCTCCAATTCTTCGCGCCGATAGTCTTTTTGTAAAAGTCAATTGTGCCAGGAGAGGTCACGAACATCAAGCGACGCAGATGCGGCCACGATTCGATAACCTCTTCCAGACATGCCAACATCCAGCGCCCCAGTCCCTTGCCCTGATACTCGGGCAAAACATACACATCAGTAAGATAGGCGAAGGTTACATCATCCGTGATGACCCTCATCAACCCGATCTGCTTCGGGCCGCCCTGACCTGAGATTGTCAGTGTAAGCCGAGCACGGAACTCCGGGGTGAAAGGCTAGGGAAGAGTGAGCATACCTGCGATCTGAGAGGTGGACTGAGGGAGCTCGTATAGCCCGAAACACAGCGAATTATTCAGAGCCTTCTGCAAAATATCCGTTGGCGGTGCCTGTGCCCACCACATGAGCTCCGGGCTCATAGCCGAGCGGACCGCATCGACCTGGAGGAGACGGTGCTCCGTCGATATGAGGAACTCGTCACGGTACCAATTTCGAGGCTCGATTTCAAGAACCATGATGAATGAAGTTCCTTTACGGTATCTTGAGACTAGTAGCTACAACTCTGCCACGACGGTTTTCAAGCGCTAATGTCCGTTGTTCATTATAACTTAGAATTCGTCTAGTGAACGCTATAGATAACTAAGCATATGTAATCAAGAAAGAATGTATGAGTCATGTAAACTCCTCTATAGACGATAGTCCATGACAACATACCTACCTCCCCGCAATATAACCCCGCCCGATCTCGGTCATCAAGCAGCCCGCAATAACTATAAGGTACGAAAGATGCAGTCTCGGCAGCTTACATGTTCCAATCGCCAGAAGGGCGTGCAAAACGCCTAGCTGATACCCTCTCTACTCTATGACCCACGTGATCACAGCCACTACCTCACCAAGTCAGATGACATGTCTTTTCGCCAACTATCCAGATGAGCCTTCCAACGTCCCCTAAAATCATAAATACAAACATATGTAATCTGGTATAGGCGTAGTATACACGTAAAATAATGGTTGTCAATAACAGCATAGATACTTATATACAACACCCTTTCGTTATCATGGTATTATCTCGTCTGGATTTAAGATGAAAAGGATGGGCGGGAAATGCCGTCAAGCAAACCTGAATACCGTCAAAAGCTTTTCTCGCGCGATCAGAGTTACACATGTTACGTATTCATTATTATAAGTTTGGGCAGACACAAGCAAACATCACATCAGATGGTATCATTGCAGCCTAACATGTATGTATGATGGCTCTTTAATCCTCTTCGTAGATTAATGATGCGCCAGCTCATCAATCTTTACTTGAAGCCTCGTAAGCATCTCTTTGCCCAGTTTCCCATATTCACTGGAGGTTGGTTAACTAATACTTACACGGAGTTGTGTATCCAAGATAGGCATGATTATGAGACCGCCCAAACAATAATCCCTGTAAAAGAGATCTCGATTGGTCTAGTGGTCAGGATACCTGCTTGTCATTCGACCGAGTCGTGCAGATCCCGCCTGCTTGGGGGGGTCTCCTGTTCCGAGTAACAGTACGCAGGTGGCCGGGGTTCGATTCCCCGATCGAGAGGTTTTCTATTTTGCTAATTATTAGTCTCCCCCTTTTTTTCCCTGAGTGTCTTCTACATTTTTAAATATTATGATGGAGCGGTGTTGGCATGTAGGAGATGCTACGTGGAGCCGAGATCACTGTTTATTATTATAGACCTTGCTGCCCGGCATCGGCTCCCTTGTACAATCGTTGCTCATTTTCCCCTATATACTTTCATGATTCACCTCTTATGCGCGCTCTCAATCTTGTTCAGGTGTCCTCGAGGGTGTGACCTCATTCCCTTCAACCAATGACGTTTAAATCACAATTTAGCACAATCGCGAAGTTGGTTGAATCCGCGCCGTTTGTCCCGTCAACGCTGTCTGTCCGCTAGTAACTCCTCTCTTCGCGCCTCGTCCCTATGGTAATAGCCTTAAGACAGTAATAGGTGACAAATCTCACGTCCAAACCCGCCACTTTCATATCTTGCTTCATTTCTACGCTGTCGTGATCGACCAGGTTCAAGAGCTCCAGTTAATTCCCGCGCAGTAGAGGATGCCGTCGGCCTTAGCTTTGCGCATGTCGTGCTTATGTTCTAGCCTGCGCAGCAATTTCTTCCAACCTCCAAATCTTTTCGCAATTTCCCGTAGTTGTCGTGGGGCGCGGCTTCTTGTGCGCACAGAGGTGTCGTGTACTGCTTCGTCTGAGCTTGCCATTGTGCTTGGTGACCGGCAAGGGGTATGAGTGGCTGTCAACTTGACGGAGGAAGTTAGTAGTTGTTTGTATCGGATGACGTGAGAGGTTAAAATGGAAAGTAACTGACGGGCTGTCCTACGATTGGTGTGATATGGAGCTGATTGCTGATTAACTTAGGCATTGTTATGTCAGCGTTGGCACTTGAGGATAAGTATATTGCAAAACCATTAAGACCTTGAGGTTTGCGACGATCTGTGAGAGTTATTGACTGCTAAGGAAATTTGGTGAGGCTGGAACGATAAAGAAGGGAGTTCCGAGAAGAATGAAAGTAGCATTGTCTAGTAAACCTTGAATACTAGCAAAATGGTTATATACTTGTTTCGAATACAATTTGACTCTTATCTAACAGGGAGATGTTATCAAACTCCAACAAGCTTCGTAACTAAATAACAATGCGCTAAGGCGATATGTCCCACGAACATTTGGTGTTTTTATATGGAAATGAATAATACTGATTTTGAACATTAGAGGTATCAGTGCGGTATTCGCTTCAAAAAGCAGTAGTAGACTTAAATAATAGCGTGCAGTTTATACCTTTTCATGAGGTGAGGTAATCAAGAATAGGGCGCAGTCAGAGTGAGAAGCTTCCCACCTACTCATCCTTAGCCCCAATTATGAAACCCCTGGTCTACTTACCTATTCCTGACATGAACATGTAAACTAGAACTGTGAGGCAACGGTACAATGGCACATATAGTTTCGGTCGTGAATTATCTTAAAAAGGACTTCAGTTCTCGATTTAGGCATCACTTCTTGCACCTGCTTAGCGCGTCTCGGACCCGGCAGGCTGTACGACCAAGGTTACTGGTCTGTGAAACAAATAACACGGCAATTATACAAGCAGGGCTAGCTAGCGAGTGTATTCAGGGATCCTTCGTGCAACGACGACAACGTTGATCCTTGTCTGTAGTTAATTTTCAGCCAACATTTTTTTGATTTTTGCAAAGTGAGATAGAAGATTTGAAAAGTATGATGTCCTCACGGATATGAGAGCCGAAAACTGAGGCCGGACATAAAGTAAATAAGCTGAGCACACTACCACTTACTATACAATACTATATAATACGTAGTTAACGTCCTATATCACTAACGACAAGCTATAGCATGGAATCGAAAATCGAAGGAGATATACCAGGGGCCTAACCTTGTCACATAGTGACATGGGGTGGTTATAGCTTCATCTGGCAAATATACAGCAACGTCATGATGAGTCAGCAGTAGACGACGTGTGCCCAATGACAACATGTGATCTTTGTCCATACATCGTATATCTTCTGAAACACATCAGGGGCACACGACTCACATTCTTTCCATCAAACTTCAGTATCTAGTTGTTATACCAGTCAGCTCTTATCAGGGAGAAAAGGAGACAATCGCTACCAGATCCCTCACATCATCATACCTCGTAAGTAACAGTTAAACGCCGTTCCCCATAATATCTGTCTAAGAATAACCTTAATATTCAGCCATCCACAGATTCGGCCTGCAATTGACATCAATAAAAGTTAGAAAGAAAAAATAAATAAAGAAAATGGCCTGTGGCTCTTCGAACTCAACCGTCGTCAACCGCAACGGCCCCGGTAGCGCGGCGTCATCGACATTCGAGAGCATCGTCAAACCAGCCGATGCGACAGGCAAGACGCGATGCATTGAATGCGACGGCTTTGATTGCTGCTGCATCCCGATCCCTTGCACCGTGATGTGAGGCGAAAAGCAAACACTGCTTGAATCTTATTATGCAGGTGGAAAACTTTGATACGAAACACCTGGGTAACGCATACACGGACGGCTTTGAATTTCTCCTCATGAAGAGGGTGAATTGAAGAGATAACAGCTGGGAACGACTTTGATGGGAGTTACGTTCTCTTATGGTAGTAGCTCCGATGCATATAAACCACAATATATTGCGCTATCACTTTCTGCTTCTCGCCAATCGTACAATCTACAGGGTATCATGAACCATGCCAAGCGCCAAATTATTTCCGAATCAACCAGCAAATGTACCAACAACGCCTTGAAAATGTCTCGTCAAAACTGTTTTGCCCCTGAAGAGTCTTGTCTTTCTCTCACGTGTATTGATCTACCAGCATGTTCCAAGCTTTTATATCCGGATTGAATGGGTCCTCGTCGTCGATAGTCTTGTAATTAGGGGGTTCCTCGATCGTTATGCTACCCAGCCCTTCGAGTACGCGTTCCGCATGATCCTTCGCATCGCGAATAGCGTTTGTCTCGGCCCGCGTCCTGTCTAACTGGGACTGCATTAAGGCGATGAGGGATTCGCGGGCTTGGTGAGGGCGGTACTCGTTGATGAGGTGGTGAAAATTAATAAAGAGATCTCGGATATCTGTGACCTTATCCTCGGCCTATTGTTGTTTTGTGTTAGTCAGAGGAACACATTACTTCATAACAATTGATAACAATAGACAATGAATGAAGGAGAGTCTCGTTTGCGACATACCGCCTCGGGGCTGGTGGCTAGTAGGCCCGTAAGTTCGAGAAAGTTGAGCAGCAGCGACTTAGCCAATCGCTTGAGGATGGTGGCACGGTCGAAGTGCTTGCCATCCTGATCTCTCTCCTCAGGGTTGGGAAATAGCCTGCGAATCTCGCCATCCTCGAGCTGTGGGAGTTCGTCTTTCAGGCCGTATTTGTCGCCGAAGACCCTCCACTCTCCATCTTCGGGTTCGGGCGGAGGCTGTAGATTGCGCAATTCGCGAGGTAGGCTGTCGATGCGGATGTTTGAAGGGTTTTGTATGCCTGCGCGCTCGGCTGCCTCTTTCCGTAGCTCTTCAATTCGCGCAATGTTATCCGGGGTGAAGGCTTTCCAGAATGGAGGCGGCGGTGGCCAGGTGGAGGCTGTTTGTTGCTGTTCCTCATCCATTGTGATATGATTGACAAGCGTTCGAAATAGCTAATTGTCGCAATCAGATTATATTGTGGAGCTTATGTAGGTCACCCTCCTTGCGCCATGACCGACAGCGTTCTGGATTGAAATGTTGGAATGTCAATAAGCCAACAGGGTAGCGTCGCGGAGGGATTCTGTTCGCGCCGGGGCCTCCTTGTGGAGACATTCCTAAAACTACCCCTTCCGGGCCCTCCTACTAAGGTGCCCAGTCTAGGTACCTACCCGGGCCAGCGCGGGGCACTTCTCCAAATCCCCAGGTCAACAGCAATTGTGGCTGACGGCAGACCTCCCTCAGCTTTACCTAATACAGTACCTTTGCATTTACCTATCCCACCGCCTCGGCATGACCATTACAACCAAACTTCTAAAATAATACTCGCAACTCAGCTCTCGTGCATTCCTATTCTCCCCAACATTGGGCTCAAAAGTTGGAAACCCGGATTCCACCAGTAACGCATCTTATCCTTCAGCATTCCATCCGCAATGGCAGACGCCCGTGCCCTCTTACGCGCCCATCGGGCTGAGAACCGCATCAAACATCCTCACGCTACCTACTCAGATGCCGGGAAGCTGCTCTGCAAGCTTTGTCACGACGTAATAAAGACAGAGTCCTTATGGAATACGCACATCCGTAGCCAAAACCACAGACAACGGCTCCAAACCCTGCAAAAACAGTCGAGTCCTTCTACTCAAGACGCGGACGAGAGTACGAATAAGCGGAAACGAGGCGAAGATGCGGACGAGGTCATGTCAGACGATGATGAGGACCCCGACACGATACGCTTGAAACGAAGCAGGACCGATCTCGCATCGAACGGCACGGGAGAAGGCTATAGGGAAAAGGACAAAGAGAAGACGGGAACGCCCCCTGGCTTGGCACGCAGGACCTCAGGAACACCGGTGCACGGCGTTGAGATTGCCATACCGTCCCGGCCTGCAACGCCTCTCGCCGGTACCAATTCCACTGTGTCAACGCCAAAGGCGACGTCGATGGGCCGCGCTGTTTTATTCGGTGCAGACGCGACTTCTACCCCTGGAGCCTCAGCAGCAGCGTTATCACAACTGAAAGCAGCAACATCAATACCCATATCCACCGAAACACCTACCACATCAGCACAAAACTCCATGCAAGCACCACCTATCAGCAATGACGCCACCGCTACAACAGCACAAGCCTCATCAGGGGCCGTCAACGAGGCGGAATGGGCCGCTTTCGAAGCGGAGATGGCGGTCCTCGACGCACCCGCACCACCAACAGCCGTCTACGCAGACGCGACCATTTCGGCACCGGCATTAACGAAGGCACAGCTCGCCGCCAAGTCGCAAGAGGAGGACAACGAGCGGCGGAAGCACGCGGCAGAGGTCGAAATGGCCGACGAGC